TCAAAGGAGGAGTCCGCCTCGGAATGTTACCACGTCTGCTTCCTGGGACCTTGCAGAACCATCGTCGGCCGCCCGTCCTCCCCTTTTCCCCATTGCTGGAGGCTGTGGCTTGAGCAGAACACCCCCAAGGTTGGCTCTGGAATGATGACCCTGAGAAGGGAGAGGTGCTGTCGTGAGTTTGATGGGTGGCTTTTGCCTTTGGCGTGGAAGCCATCAGGACCTTGAACAAAGCTGCAGATCGGAAGTCAGCCTAAAAATGGATGCAGAACCTCAGGTCTTCTTCTCTCGAGGAAATTAAGTAAAGATGAATAAAAAAGGGAGTGAAGGTGTTGTGTCTCTCAGAGACAGACAGAGAGGACGAGGCGTCTACAGTCACCGCGCCTTTATTTTCCAGATGGGTTTCAAGTGTGTATTTTGTGCCAGGAGCTGTGCTTCCCTCTCCTTTCGTCCTCTGCTTCTTATCTCGCAGGCATCTTGAAGGTGATCACAGTAGCGATCCACAGAGCATCACTTGCTGGCAAACGGGGTTCTAGGGATGGAAGAGGTAGTGTGTGCAGTTCAGAGGCCACAGCCTACTCTGCTCTTAATCACCTGGGTCACCTGAACAAGTCATTTAAATAATGCTTCTCCATTTTGTCCTCAGTAAAGCAGGGAAAGTATCGCCGTCTTCCTTCTAGGGATGTTGGAAAGGGTACAATGAGTCAATCCACGTGAAACACCTAACCTAACCCTGGAATGGCTACCTGGAATATAGTAAGTGCTCAATAAACATCACACACGTGCATCCACACACACACGTGTCTCAAATGTCTCCTTACCTGAGAGGCCATCCTGGCCACTCTGTATAAAAAGTACCCACCTCCCCCCCTCCCCCCCCGACATCTCCCTCTCCCGTTCTTCCTCTATTGGTCTCTGCAACACGTATCATATGACCATCTGACCCCCTATGTAGTTACTTGTTTATTTGTCTGTTTGTTGACTGTCTTCCACCCCCGCCCCCTCTCGAACCCTGCAAATGCCGAGATCTCTGTTACTTGTGTTTACTGCTTTAGTCCCTGGAGCGTGGGTAGGTGGCTACTAAATATGGGTTGAACAGATGAGTCTCTATTTTAGAGCTGACCTCCAGGCCCAGACAGGGAGGTAAAGCGCACAGGGAGGTAAAGCGACTTACTCAAGATCACCCAGCTACCAGCAGCTGAAGAGTCTGGAATCATTTAAATCTAAAGGTTTAAATTCTAATTTAAACCATGAATGCCTTCCTGCCGGTAAAACAAAAAACAGAAAAACTAAGTGCAGTGCCTGCCACACAGTAAGGATTTAGTAAATGTTAACTAGAAGTAATAAGGGTCATCATTCCCGCAGCAGCTGTCCCCTGCCCCGGGACACCCCCGTCTGGCTGCACCCCAGCTTTCTGAGCAGTACTCAGGCATCAGTGGGTGCAGTCTTGAGAAGATTAGGTGGCACCCAGGCCGGTGGGCAGGTGTGGCGCCAGAATTAAAGCGAGTTCGTGCCCTTTCCCGGAGGGCTGCCGAGTCCAAGGGAGGGAAACGGCACTCTGTGGAAGATGTCGAGTTCCCGGTGTGGTGCCTATTTCCAGAGTTGGTGGGAGCTTCCAAAACATGCCGGTGTCTCTCCTGGTTGTCCTTTCACTTGCTTTTTTCTTTCACCCAAGGCTGAGGCGGGGCTTGCAGAGATCTTAAAGGGCAGGAAATTGTCTCCATTTTCTGGACCTCGTCCCAGTTGTCCTTTGGAAGGTTTTATTGCTCCCATCTTTAAGATTAGTGAACTGAGGTTCAGGGAGGTGTAAATACCGAAGCCGGGATTCAAACCCAGGCCTGCTGGATCCCAAATACCTCACACCCCTGCCCCACTGCTCAGATGCTCTTATAGTTGGATTCTGATTTGTCAGCATGTATTTTTTTTTAAGCATCCTTGAACTATTGGACATGTTTATTTTTTTTCTTAACTTTTCATTTTATATTGGAGTATAGTTGATTAACAATGTTGTGTTAGTTTCAGGTGTACAGCAAAGTGATTGTTATACATATACACGTTTCTATTCTTTTTCAAGTTCTTTTCCCACTTAGGCTGTTACATAATATTGAGCAGAGTTGCCGGTGCTATATAGTAGGTCCTTGTTGGCTATCTATTTTAAATATAGTAGTGTGTACTTGTCAATCCCAGACCCCCAATCTATCCCTCCGCCTCACCCTTCCCCTCTGGTAACCGTAAGTTCGTTGTGTGAGTCTGTTTCTGTTTTGTAAATAAGTTCATTTGTGTGTTGTTTTTTTTTAGACTCTGCATTTAAATGATATCATATGATATTTGTCTTTCTCTGTCTGTCAGCATGTATTGAGCAATAACTCCAGGCTGGGTGCCATGCCTCATTTTTTTTCCTTGTTTGCTTGTTATGGTTTTTAAACTGTTTTCTCCAAACGAGGGGACGGTGCGTGTAAGAGGTACATGGGGGAGGATACTTTGTCTTGTAATCTTGTGATTCTTTGGATTACAGCAGCTATGGGGAAAGAGCCCAGGCGCTGAAGGAACACTGCCCTGAATTCAGATACGAGCCCAGCCTCTGAAGTTGCTGTGTGATCTGTGTCGAGTAATCAGCCTCTCTGAGCCTCAGTTTCCGTATTTGTAAAATGGAACAAGAACTCTTACTTGGAGAAGACACTGAGGATTTGAGATATTAAATAGAAAATGCCAGGATGCTTGGCACCCTGGTGCTTGGTTGGCCATCACTAAGTTGTGGCTCTTATTATTATTGTTGCTGTGTTTTAGCACATGGTGTTATACTTAAATGTTACTTCTTTCTTTGCCCTACTTACCTTTGTCCCTCTTAAGGGTGCAGACCGAGCCTTATTCATCTCGGCATCCCCGCCTTCTAACACAATTCTTGGTACGTGGTTGACGTGCACTAGTGCGGGGCACACGAACGAGTGAATGAATGAACAAATAAAGGGGCCCATGGTTTGTCGGGACCACTCTGGCCAGCTGTTGGGGGATGTATTTCCTGGAGTCTTATCCCCTCTGGTCAGATCCAGGCTGGGACAACGGTACAGTAGTTCCATTGTTCCCAGATAGCACTTCCTATCTTAATGTCTCGGCCAGGGCAGCCCTCGGCCACACCCTGCCCTGCTGCCCTATCACCCACCCCTACTTGGACGCTGGCGGGCTCCCCGCTAGCCTGCCCCGAAGAAAGCTTCCACGGCCCCTCGTCTCCCCCACTCCCTTCAGTCACAGCAGTTGTCGAAGGGGGCATTTCCTCTCTCCAGAACTTTTCACATTCCAGTGAAGACCTAGAAAACGCTAAATCAAAATGCTCTGCATGAGCCTGACCCTTCAGAGCTCAACCTACGTCCTCCTGCCTTGCACCCCACTCTCCCTTTGTCTGATTGGTAAGTCAGGACTCATCCCTAGTCAACCGCTGAAGAAACCGAGGCTCAGAAAGGTGGGACTGCTAGTAACACAGCTGGTTAGTGAGAGGACCTAGGGCCACTACTGGCTCTCCACACCTAACCGGTGCTTTTGCCACTAGTTCCCTTCCTGGTTGCATCGTTGGTGTGCGGGGCCCTTCTCTGTTGCCAGAAGAGCTTTGAGGGGTGTGTCACAATGTTAGTGACGTGGGCACTCTCAATCTGTTAGCTCAGGGTGGCCTCCCACTGCCCTGTGAGGTGTTCAGGGTCCAGGCATCGTCACACCCACCCAGCTGGGGAGGAAACAGAAGCCTGGAGGGCCGAGCAGCTTCTGGAGGTGACACAGCTTGGGGTGGTGGCACTTTTCCTTCTGCCAGCGTTCCCTTTCCTGCTCAATTTGACTCATAGATCAGTTGTTCTCAAACGTGGTTTCACATTGGAATCATCTGAGGAATTTAAATATCTTGCTGCCAGGACCCAACCCCCAAAGATTCTGACTTAAAATTAGTCAGGAGTGGAGCCCAGGCCTTGGGGTTATAACATCTCCCCCCGGGATTCTCTGGTGAAGCGGCATCAAGAACCACGATCTCAGATCATCCCTGTTACAGGGCTGTTGGGAAAGCTGACAGTTCTAGTAGTTCCCAAACTCTGTTTCAGACCGAGTTCCAGCCCTCCTAAATCAAACCTTGCCCGCCTTTGCTCAGATTGATGGCCACTTGCGTTTCAAAAGAACCGGCAGTGCTGAATGAGGACGCTAGGGGAATAGGGGGATGGAGAAGTCCCAAAGAGGTCATGCCTTGTGTCCCTATTGTGTACTGGACCCTGTTCTAGCACAAAGAGACCTCTGCTGATGTCATCCCCATTTCACAGATGAGAAGACTTGCTCAAGCTGGCAGGGGCAGAGCTGGGACTTGCAGACAGAGAGCTGGCTCCAGAGGCCACTGTTTTGATCACTATGCCTGTTGCTCTGCTCTGTGATGAACTGGTTCGCACTCGGCTGAGAATTTGCTCTCACCAGCTGGTCCTTCACGGCGATGCTGAGGCCTCGATCTGATCTGTCACCCTGCTGCTCAAGAGCCTCTAGGAGTCCCCATCGCATCTGTGGGGGAAGGGCAAACCCTTAGCACAGCCTGTGAGGGATTCCCCTTACAGTCTGACCGCTGGCAGACCGTTCTTTCACACTCCATGTCACACATGCTGTTAATACTGTTTGAAAAGCTCCCCACCTTTCTCTGCCTGGTGAACTTCTGCTCTTCAATACCTAGCTCAAATATCCTCTTCTCTCATCTACGAAGGAAGAGTCAGTGATGCCTTCCTCTGTGGATCACGAGTTCCTGGAGGAGTGGGGCTCTGTCTCACTCATGGTTTGCTCTCCTCACTCGGCATCTACCAGTGGATGGCCAGCCTCCCACGTGTAGGATGACGTCCTTTACCTTAGGTTCCACTTTATTTCAGCCACGAAGACATATTCTTTTTATCTTCTGAATATCAGAGGATTTTTCTTTTTGTAATGAATTCTTTTCTTCAGGGTGTCTCGGGCTCCACATCGCATAATTGACATTATTTACTGTGTTTTCCCAGGCCGGGCTGAGGTTTCAGAGGAGTTCCGAGCTCCTGTGGAGATTTGCTTCTCTCCAGCCTTGGGCTCTCTGCACTCTTGAACATCTCGGGGCCCACAAGAAAAAGAAGAAAGCCAGCCAGTTCTGGGAGCAGCCTGGGTGAAGAGAGGTAGGTGTCTCGTTTAGTGTCCAGCTCGATTCCTGAACTCAACCACCACGCGCCAGGCAAGGCAGAAGCAAGAGGAGTGGTGTCTCAGCAGCCCGAGTGACATCTGTTTGTTTGCTCGTGTGCTGTTGTGGGAATGGAAGCAGATGCTCAGCAAGGAGGAGGAAGGTGCTTTTAGGACGGCCCTCCCAGGCTCTGAAGAGGGCGGGCACACGGGGAGCCCCTAGCTGTCAAGACCCAGTGTGAGACTTTGCCACGGCCACAGTGAAGGGGGCAGGAAAAGTCGAGCTTAAAGTTGCTGGCTGAACTCTCAGAGTTTATTCCGCAGAAATACATGCGTAGTTGCAGATAAGGTGAATAGGATCTTCATCTCAACATTGTTGGAAATAGCAAACAGTGAGACAGTTTTTAATTTACTTATTTCTCTATTTACTTATTGACATACAATGTCTAATTTTTATTTTATTTTTGTATTTAAATTGAGGTGTATTTGATTTACAGCAGCAGTCCCCAGACTTTTTGGCACCAGGGACTGGTTTCGTGGAAGACAGTTTTTCCACGGAACGGGGTGGGGGACGGTGTCAGGATGATTCAAGCACATTACATTTATTGTGCGCTTTATTTCTATTATTATTACATTGTAACATATAATGAAATAATTTTACGGCTCACCATAATGCAGAATCAGTGGGAGCCCTGAGCTTGTTTTCCTGCAACTAGATGGTCCCATTTGGGGGTGATGGGAGACAGTGCCACCTGACGTGTGTTGCTTACGTCCAGTCTAGTCTGTAAGATACAGCTTAATTGTCACTTGCCACTCACTGATAGGGTTTTGATATGCGTCGGCAAGCAATTGATTTATTATGGTCTCTGTGCAGTCAAACCTCTCTGCTAATGATAATCTGTATTTGCAGCCACTCCCCAGCGCTAGCATCACAGCCTCAGCTCCACCTCAGATCATCGGGCATTAGATTCTCACAAGGAGCGCGCAACCTAGATCCCTCACATGCGCTGTACACAGTAGAATCTAATGCCACCGCTGATCTGACAGGAAGCAGAGCTCAGGCAGTAATGTGAGCGATGGGGAGCGGCTGTAAATACAGACGAAGCTTCGCTCGCTCTCCCGCCGCTCACCTCCTGCTGTGTGGCCCGGTTCCTAACAGGCCGTGGACCAGCAGTGGTCCGTGGCCCGGGGGTTGGGGACCCCTGATTTACAATATTGTATTAGTTTTGGGATGACAACATAGCGATTCAAAATTTTTACAGATTAGACTCCATTCATAGTTGTTATAAAATATTGGCTATATTTCCTGTGCGGTACGATATAGGCTTGTAGATTATTTATTTTATATGTAGCAGTTTGTACCTCTTAATCCCCTACCCCTATCTTCAGTGCCTAGTTTTTAATTGGATTACTGGATATGTAAAGAAACAGAAGAATTTGACCCAAACTTAGGGAGAAAAATAGTCAATAGAAAACAGAGGGCTTCCCTGGTGGCGCAGTGGTTAAGAATCTGCCTGCCAGTGCAGGGGACATGGGTTTGTGCCCTGGTCCAGGAAGATCCGACATGCCGCAGAGCAACTAAGCCAGTGCGCCACAACTACTGAGCCTGCGCTCTAGAGCCCGCGAGCCACAGCTACTGAAGCCCGCGCACCTAGAGCCTGTGCTCTGCAACAAGAGAAGCCACCACAATGAGCCCGTGCACCACAACGAAGAGCAGCCCCCGCTCACCACAGCCAGAGAAAGCCTGCATGCAGCAACGAAGACCCAACGCAGCCAAAAATAAAGAAATAGAAAAAAATTTAAAAAAAAAGAAAACAGAATGGAATTGAGATTTTTGAGCTAAATGCACACTTGCCTGATCAATTGATTTTATTATTATTAGGTTCACAGAAAAATTGAGTGGAAGGTATAGAGAGTTCCCATATATGCTCTGTCCCCACATGCAGCCTCCCTCACTAGCAAGAATGGTATAGTCTCCCTCCTGTGCCAGAATGGTATATTTGTTACAACTGACAAGTCTACATTCTCCAACACATCGTTATCACCCGAAGCCCATGGTTTATATTAGGAGTCACTCTCGGTGTTGAACATTCTATGACAACTGTATAATGACATGTATCCACCATGGTAGTATCATATGGCATAGTTTCACTGCCCTAATAGTCCTCTCTGCTTCATCTGTTCCTCTCCCCCAGTGAGACACAATTTACATGCTCCTCAGTTGGGGATCGGTTGATTAAATCACAATGCCTCCATAAAATGGAGTACTCCACAGCTGTTAAAAAGAATGGGTGGCTTTATGAAGTGATACGGAACACTCTTGAAGTTCTGTTCACCACTGTCGTCCTTAGCAATGTTGATTTTAAAAAATGAAAGAAAGGAGGGCATATCGCAGTGTGTAGAGTGTGCTAACCTAACGGCCCCACTGATGCACATCCACCACTCCCAAATCAGATACCTGTACTTCCTACGTCCTCACTGAACACAGTCTGTGGTCCCCGCCTCTATTGATCTGTAAGCCCCAGAAGACAGACCCCTCCAGGAGGGCAGGATCTGTCCATCTGCAAGGATATTATCGCCTGGGCCAAGCCCAGATCCAGGCACACCACAGCCTTCCCATTAGTATCTGTGAACGCATGAATGATGAACGGACGGGGGAGTTTTCTTCCCACAGTGTCCTTCTGCCTCCTGCCCCTCAAACACATGGGCTGGAGTGGAAGCCCCGGGTGTCCCTTCTGCTCTCCTGGGTACCGTCCCTGGCCTACCCACCCCCGCCCCTTGAGTCTCTATGCTCTGCCAGGCTTCATTATTCCCCAGATTACAAAGACTCAAGGGGTTGGGGGGAGAGGCTTGAAACGGACCTTCGAGATGATAACATGTAGCTGACGCTGTCAGTCAGGCCGATCTGACTTAATTGATTAATTTTGTTGTATGAGCCAAGCGACCCAGCAGCTGGGAGCGGACTCCGGATCTGACAGCAGGCTGGTGAGTCAGACCCGATGGGTTTGATTCCACGCGCTGGTGTGGCTGCCCATGTGACCTTGGCCATGTTACTTAACCTTGCTGAATCTCAATTTCCTGATCTGTAAAAGGAGGCTAAGAATGCTTCTCTTGAGGTTGTCATGAGGATTAAATGCGATCACATAAGTGAAAGTGCCCTTTGAGGAAAGAGGAAGGTGAAAATGCTTATCGGGTCGGGAGAAAAGTGAGGCAGGCCCGCTATTGTCCTCAGGTGCTGCATCCTTCCCTGGGCAGCAATCCTAACTCCAATTCGATAGGTTCTAATTTGGCTTACTCTTTCATTCAGTGCACTTCTCTCAGCCTCCCAGGGCTTTCAGCTTAAGCAAATAAATTATCCTGCACCACCGGGCTCTGTGTTCTGTGGCCAGCCTACGTTTGAGCATGATAGAGATTCTTATCCGGCCAGGTAATATTACACAGCAAGGGATGACATTTCTTCTCAGAGGCCCTGTGGAATCAGAGATAGGAGCCCTTTCTTTTTACCGGCAGCCAGGCCTTCATGTGCACGGCTGGCAGGGAGGGCAAGAGGGGCAGGCCGGGGCCCAGAGTGGGCGGCTTGGGCTGCAGTGGCACCAGCTGGCCCTCTTCTCTCAAGACGGCCACTCCCAATGGCCTGCCTTAACGAATGTAGGCTATTTTGAGATTTTTGCATATGATAGAAAACAGGGCAGGGCCCGGGAGTGTGAATGAGGGAGGAAGGAGAGAGCTTGATGCTGCTGGACCAGCTTGGGGTGGAGGCATGGGAGGCATCTTGCCCTTGTACAGAGAGGCAGGCGGCCTCCTGCTGCGGAGTCCAGGCCGTTCGCCGGCCCTGTGGATTGCAGGGTGGAGGCAGCTGAGGCCCAGGTACCTACCAGAGACTTGGCTGTGGGAGTGACGAGGTGCTGGGTAACCTCCATGTCCCCGTCAGGAGGCCGACCTGTGTGGATGCAACAGGATGGGTACCACACGGGGCTCTGCTGCCCTCAGGCTTCTGTTTGGGAGGCACTGGCAAGTGGGAAGGCAGGAAGGGAGTGAGGTCAGGGCGCTTACTCCTCTGCTTCCTCCCTGCTGGGACCCTGAGTGGTACAGGCAAGGTCTACACAGAGGAGCCTGCGTTAGAATCCTGACTCTGGGACGCACTCGCTGTATATCAGGCGAGTTGTTTACCTCTCTGCACCTTGGTTTCTTCATACAGTTTTCTTTCCGTCTCTCACCACTTGCCTTTGGGTTCCATTGATCTCTGTGCCTGTCTTTGGCCCTGAGATGCCAGAGGAAGGGGCACTGCTGGGTCCCCCAGGGCCTGAGGCCAGAGCTCAGTGTGGATGAAGCTCCAGCGTAGACGGAGGTGGTCAGAGTGACCACATGATTTGGGTACCGCGACCTCTGTGGGGGACACATGCTCAGGGCTCTTCTCGTCCTGTGTTTTCGGAAGTCCTGCGCTGCTCTCAAGTAATAATCTTGCCCTCATCAGAAAGGAGAGGGGAAGTGGTTTCTCCCTCTCTCCCTGGACCCCTTCCAGCCAGCAGCCCTGCTCCTGCTTCCTTCCAGTTGGCCTCACTTCCTGTTTTCCTCCCTCTCTTGCCCTGCCTCTCCCGTGCCGGGCCTCGCGTCGGGCATGCCAAGTTTTCCTGTCCCTCACCTCTCCTCCTCCCTATGGCCAAGTACAAATTCTGAAAGCACAGCTCTGACCATGTCCCTCTCCACGCGAAAATAGTCTAACCTCTTAGCGTGGCCTTTAAGGTCCACCTCACCTTCACCCCTCCCTGTGATTTTATCCTGGTCACCTTTGGGTGGGACACTGGTCCTGGTAAGCAGGTCACCTCCTTGTCTTTTGTTTTTGTTTTTGTTTTTATTTTTTGCGGCACGCGGGCCTCTCACTGTTGCGGCCTCTCCCGTTGCGGAGCACAGGCTCCAGACGCGCAGGCTCAGTGGCCATGGCTCACGGGCCCAGCCGCTCCGCGGCATGTGGGATCTTCCCGGACCGGGGCACGAACCCGCGTCCCCTGCATCGGCAGGCGGACTCTCAACCACTGCGCCACCAGGGAAGCCCCCTGCTTGTCTTTTGAACCCACCGCCGTCTTTCTTTGACTTTTATGCTTTGTTCTCGACGTTTCTTCCTCTTTGGATGGCTGAGGGGTCCATGGGCTCTGGCCACCGACAGGGCCGTGTTCAACCGCAGCTCTACCGGCGGCTGGCTCTGTGATCATGAGCAAGTCGCGTCACCACTCTGAGCCTCAGTGTCCTCTGCTGTGACGTGGGCCGCTAGCTCGTGTGCCAGGGCTCTTGTGGGAAGAACCTGTCTAAGGGCTCCTGCTGGGGTTTGGCTCATGGCAGGTATTCAGTGAGTGGAGGCTCCCCTCTGTCTAACGGGCTGTCCCTCTGTATCCAGATCCCGCCTGAGCTCAAGTTCCCTTCCATCTTTAGGTTCTTCCACCCCCAAGGCATCTTCCTCTGTCGGAAGGTGTCTGACGTCCTCGTGTCTGGACAGCAGGAATGGACTCTTCTCTTTCTGCCCATGCTGACTTCCTAGCATGATGTGGATCCCTTTAGGTCATGGTTTTGGCTTGGCCACAGGAACCATTGATTTAGTGACGGAGAAGTTGACTCCAAGGGAATGGAAGAGAGTCATCTGTTCTCTCGTTGAACGTAATTCGATTGAGTGCACGCGATATATCAGGCACTGGGGTTACAAGGAGGTGTAAGATGGCAGCTGCCCTCACAGAGCCCATCTTCCAGCAGGATGGTTGTCCAGGCCTGGACCACAGATCTGGAAAGACATGGGCCCCTCCCTGAAGGTAGCTCAGAGCCTGGTGTTGGATGGGGGCGGGGGGTGTGGGAGAAGTTCTGTGCCCAAGGAGAGGATGCCTCCCTTGAGATGGGTCAAAGACGATGAGGTCCCACTTCAAGATACCACTCTTGACCTTGTCGGGTTGTACATCTGATTTTCAGACGTCTCCCACTATCCCCACTATGGCTTCCCTTCCTGCCAAGGGTATGGGGGTCAGCTCCGAGGTCACCAGCACCTCTTAGCATGGACCTTCATAAAACCTTGAGAAGTAAAGTCCACTGAGAGAGATGTTCTAGAACATTGCAAGCTGGCTAAGCAGGATGGTGCCTTGAGCACGCAGGGCAGCTTGTCCGTGGCCAGGACAGTGGGTGAGAGCCAGCCAGCTGACCATCCTGGCCACAGCTTCTGGACTCTCTCCTCATGGGCCTCAGGCCCCTGGGGCTTCAGTTGAGTTTTTTTCTTCCCTCCACCACCAACACTCTTATCCAAGTCATCCTGCCTAGATCACAACAACAGCTTCCAGATTTGATTCCCTGAATCCAATCTCACCCCTCGGCAATCCATTCTCCACTCAGCAGCCAGCATGACTTTGTTAAGTGGGAATCCACTTGTGTCTGACCCACAACATACGTAAGCCTTCCCATTTCTGCTCCTGGGATAAAGACCAAAACCCCTACGGGGCTCCTGTGTGAGTTGGCCCAGCTGCTCTCCTTCTTACTCAGTGTTCTCCAGCCTCACCGACCTCTGCTGAGTGATACAAAACTACCCTGTTTCCTGCCGCCCCAGGGCCTTTGCACGTGTCATTCCTCCACCTGGAATGCTCATTCCCTCCGTCTTTGTGTGGTGAGTGCTTTCTGACCCTTAAGCTGTCCTGTTGTTGTTTCCTCCCATTCACTCCACTTTTCCTTCATAGCGTGATCTATAATGACATGTTTATTTGTGTTTGTTTCACGTCTGTTTTCCTTCACAGGCTGGAATCCTGTAAAGGCGAGGATGAAGTCATTTTTGTCTACCGCAGTTACGACAATAAAAGCTAGTGCTTTTGTCACACCAGCCATATGCCAGGCACTGTTGTAAGTGCTTCATTTTTACCAAACCCTATAATCCTCAGAAGCCCCTCCTGAGGTGTTAGATACTGCAGCGGTCCCCAACCTTTTTGGCACCAGGGACCGGTTTCGTGGAAGACAATTTTTCCACGGACTGGGGCCGGGGGGGGGGATGGTTCAGGCGGTAATGCGAGCGATGGGGAGAGGCAGATGAAGTTTCGCTCGTTTGCGCGTAGCTCACCTCCTGCTATGTGGCCCTGTTCCTAACAGTACCGGTCCATCGCCCTGGGGGTTAGGGACCCCCGAGATACTGTTATTGCCTTCATTCATTTTACAGGTGAGGAAACGGAAGCACAGAAAGCTTAAGTAATGTGGCCCAGCTCTCCCATCTAATAGATGGTAAAACCAGGACTCAAAAGTGCAGTAGCTCTGGACCCCTCTGCCAGGCCCTTCCCCGGGGGCGCTCAGTGGATGGGCAGTGCACGAATCAAAGGGCCACGGTCCCATCTCTCAGGGAGGTTCTCCTTGAAGTTTCTGCACTGGGTTCAGGGCTGGCAGCATGGTAAAGAGAAGGGGACCTGGGTTGCAGTGTGGGCTCCCCCATTCAATAACTGGGTGACTGTCGGCAAATCCCTCAACTTCACTGAGCCTTGCTGTTCTGAGCTCAGGCTGGGAGCAGTGCCAGTCGCCTGCGTGATAGGAAAGGAAAATCTGAGAGCTTATAGTGTGTGCTCTAAAACTGTTACCTGCCTTGCTGTCTTAGAGGGCTTCTTGGTTTTGGTTAGAGTGTGTGCCACCCGCTTTCAGCCAGAAGTGGGGAGATCTTGGCTGGGGTGACAAGGAGAAGGGCTGAGGCTCAGGTGCTGCAGGACATGGAGGGGGTTGGACTTCAGGCATCCCCTCCCCTCTCTTCTGCCCTTAGTGTGTCATTACCTTAAGTTGGAGTTTTCACTGACACACAGTTACAGGGCCAAGGGAGAGGAGTTTGGTGACCCCCTGCCCATGCCAGGAGATGGAAGGGCCCCCAAGAGCATCCTGAGTCTCTGGATGCTATGGCAAAGAACTGCATTTTACTGGGAACCTCCCTCTCCCAGTGTCTTTCTCTCACTTCTGGGGATCTTTGCAGCCCCTGGATGATGCCCCCACCTGACCCAGAGACAGGGGCATTTAGAGTCATAGGGACCTTGCTCCAGCAATTAGTTAAGTGTAAGCCCATTCTGAAGGCAGAATGGGTTCTGATCCTGACTCCATCATTTACTAGCAATGTGATCATGGATGAGTTTCTTAATGACCCGGTGCCTTGGTTTCCTCACCTGTAGAATGGGTTGCTGACAGTAGTGTTTGTCATTGGTAGACTGAACTATTGGTCCCAGTTCTTCACTCCTCCATAGTAAAATTAACACATGCATTCCTTTGCCATGGCCTCAAGGTGGGCGAATGCACTTCTTCACCCTGTGACTTTGGTCTTGGCCATGTGACTTGCTTCGGTTCATGGGATGTTAGTAATATCACTGGAGTGGAGGATGGAAACGTGTGGATGCAGTTGGGCTTGCTTTCCTGTGTGCCTTTCATCATGACAACATGCCTTTGGTGGTATCCAACCCACAGAAGATGAGAGACTTGGAGCAGATTCAGAATTCACACCTAGCACGGAGCCAAGCTCAGACAGACCTTCCCTGTATCATCTAACTGCTAGCTGACTAACAGACACGTGAGTGAGAAATAAATGCTTATTATTGTATGCTGCTGAGTTTGCGGTATTCTGTTAATGCAGCATTCTTGTAGCCATAGTGACTAATATGACACTTCATGAAATTATTATAAAAATTATAATTAATAAGGTGAGTTGGTTCACATATCAGTTCCTCTTGCTGCTGTAACAAATGACCACAAATTCAGCGGCTGAAAACAACACAAATTTATTCTCTTACAGTTCCATAGGGTAGAGTCCAAGGCGGGTCCCACTGGGCTAAAATCAAGGTACACAGGGCTGGTTCTTTCTGGAGGCTCCAGGAGAGAGTCTGTTTCCTTGCCTCTTCCAGCTTCTAAATGCCGCCTGCGTCCCTAGGCTTATGGCCCCTTCCCTCGTCTTCAAGGCCAGCCACATGACCTCTTTTCATGCCTTTCTTCCTTAGTCACAGACTTTCTCTTCTGCCTCCCTCTTCCATTTTTAAGGACACCGCTGATTATATGGGACGCACGGAAACAAGCCAGGGTAGTCTCACTATATTAAGGTGAGCACATTAGCCATTTATTTCCATCCGCATCCTGAATTCCTCTTTGCCATGTAACCTAATGTAGCCACAGATTTCAGGGATTCAGGCATGGGCACCTTTGGGGGACCACTATTCTGCCTACCACAGCACGTCAGGCACTTAGAACAGGACCTTGTACGCACTGTGTACTTGTATACATACCTGTTAGTATTATGATCAGCCCTAGCTTCGTCATCTGTGAGATGAGTGAGAGGTAGTCCCATCTGATGTCCACACAGATCCTCAGAAAAGCTTTGTTTTCCTGGACATGTTGCCCCCAGGAGACATATTGCATCCCTTGGTCTTGGATGGACTGGAGGCTGTGGGCTTACAGGAAGGGGGTGAGGTCAGTTTCCTAGCTGGCTTTGGAGCAGACCAGAGGTTCTTTAGGACGATGATGGTGCTTTCTGATTAAATATCGTAACGACTCTCCTTTTGTCCTCACTATCAGTAGAGCCCCTAGCACAGGGCACTGGCCAGACGACCAATGGGACTGGGATGAGCCAGTCCAGAGCGGCCAGCCGGTATCTCCATGTGCCCAGCTGGTTCCGTCCTTCATTTGACAGATCCCTCTGACGACAGATTGCAGGGAAAAAGAAACTTCCTGGCACAATTGATACCAATTTGAAGGAAGCAGCTGGCTTTGGCGGGGGCAAGGAAACAAAATCCAGTGACACTGATAATGTCTCACCAGCCTGCGTTAATTGAGGAACTGCTGGGTGGCTGCAGGACACGTCCAGAGGCGTGGGAGGGTGTGAATTCCTACATAGGTAACTTAGAATCCAGTGTAGGAGCAGAGTGGTATTAACCATAGGAGGAGAATAGCCTGGGTTTGGGGTTCCTGGGTTTTGAAGGTTCTGTCAGTGACTTACTGTGTTACCATGAGGTCAGTGACACCCTGTGTCCCCTGGTTTCCTTACAGTGGCAAAGTAGAGTTTGCTGGATTTCTTTCCCTTCCCAGTCAAAAGTAAATGCTATGGCAATGACCAATGCTTAAGATGAAACTAAGGAGACTCATGAAAAGAACCTGATAGCTCTTTGGACATCACCAAGCTTACCTGGGGAAATGAGGCCAGAGAGGTGAAGTATGGTCTAAGATCACACAGCCAGTTGGGGCTAAAGCCAGGTCCTGGAACTCACCATGGTTTCCTCCCTCCTTTTATTTTATGTATTTATTTATTTAATAAATTTTATTTATTTATTTATTTATTTATTTATGGCTGCGTTGGGTCTTTGTTGCTGCGCGCGGGCTTTCTCTAGTTGTGGAGAACGGGGGCTACTCTTCGTTGCAGTGTGCGGGTTTCTCATTGTGGTGGCTTCTCTTGTTGCAGAGCACAGGCTCTAGGCGCACGGGCTTCAGTAGTTGCGGCATGCAGGGTCAGTAGTTGTGGCTCGCAGGCTCAGCAGTTGTGGCACACTGGCTTAGTTGCTCCACAGCATGTGAGATCTCCCCGGACCAGGGCTCGAACCCGTGTCCCCTGCATTGGCAGGCAGATTCTTAACCACTGCTCCACCGGGGAAGTCCCCCTCCCTCCTTTTAAGTAGACGTTCCATGCTGCCGTCTTTGTTACTGTCACCTGTTGACTGAAGCAGAGATGGTCCATTTCAACCACGCCTGTTGACCTTTTACTCTAGGTTTATTCGCCACGTGGCTTTGGCGGGGCTGGTAGCTTCTTGCCACAAGCTTCAGGCACCCCACGGTTTAATTTGACAGGCTCTAACTGCAAGTGTCATTTGTTTTGCTAATTGTGTGATTCATGACGGTAAATCGTGACTGTGGGCTGGGAATGTTGGGTTCAGGTTTGCAGGGCTAACTGATACAGAGTGGGGAAAATGCAGTGTGAGCGTTACTTTTATGTGTCAACTGGCCAGGCTATGGGGTGTGTGTGTGTGTGTGTGTGTGTGTGTGTACACGGGCAGGAGAAATTGATTCCAACTCTCAATGGACAGAAATGGGAGGAATTCTGGGCAGACATCGCTGGACATGGCCTACCCCAGGGTGCAAGTTGTACATTTCAGTTTATGACTCTCGGTCTGTCCTCTGTTTAACCTCTTGGGTTATCTGTTCTAATCTAGTGAGGGTGCACAGGAACTCTGGAGCCAGTCTACCTTGTTTCAAATCCAGCCTCTACCACTAACTGGCCATGTGACCTTAGGCAAGTTTCATATTCTCTCCATGCCTCAGTTTCTTCATCAGGAAAATGGGCTATTAGTACTACAGTAGAGATACATGAGGATTAGTTGAAATACATGTGTGTGTGTGTGTGTGTGTGTGTGCCTTTACCTGCATGTGTATATACACGTGTATGTATACACTTGCACATGTATATATATATGTGAATATGAGCGCACACATAGAGATATATATGTATACATAAACGTATCCGTATGTATACATGTATATATATATGAAATTCTGTGTATATGTGTATATATACACATTCGTGGCTTTGTGTAGACATGTATATGTATATATACACATGTGGTTTTGTGCATTATACATGCATATGTATATATGAAAGCATATGTGTGTATGTATATGTGAATATATGGTTTTATATATATATATATATGCACACACACACATAATATATATAATTTAGTGCATAACTCATACTGATACGTCCCTGTTTATACATACATTTGCAGCCCGCAGAGACGTTCCAGCCAGCCTTACCCTTACTGGGCCCAGTCCCAGTATTTTACAGAGAAATTTTACAACTGGACCTGAGAGCTGGCGCCCCGCTGCGTCTTGAACCGAGGCCTCCTGAGACCAGCGCCTGGTCCTTTTCTACCCCAGGAGCGGTTCCCATGCCCTTGGGGAGTGTCAGAAGCATCTATGGGGCCTGGTGAAATGCAGGTTACTCACAGGCCCCACACCAGCCCTCCTGAAACCAAGAAGTAGACCCAGACTCTGAATATTTAACCAGTCGCCCGGGGGTGATTTGATGGAAACCCACCCCTCGCTGCTTCTGCTACCCGCTGCACTCCCAGCTGGCCGGTGCCACCTCTCATGGTGCCATCTACACTCCCTGGTGAAGACGCGTTCCCTTCCCCTCCCAGAAAAGCCTAGTGCATTCTACTCACGCACGCCAGGATCTCAGAGGGGCACAGACCACAGGGCCGGCCTCGTATTTGGATTTGCAGTCGAATTTAGCTTTCCCACATCCCTGAGAAAGACATGCTATCCTGGCCTCACCTTTCCCAGGCTGAGCTGAGGTCAGCCTTAGCTCTGGGTAGCCACACCACCCTGGGCCTCCTCCCCTTTCATAATGAGCTGATTTCTCCCGAGGTACGGCTTCTGGGTGATGCTCCCCCATGGCTTTGTTAGTTCCCTGAGTTTCCCCACTAAGAAAAAAACAACAATTTTTTCTGACATTTATTGAACATCTATACTGTCTACATACATTGCTCTGATTATTACCCTGCAGGAAAGATATTATCATCCTGAAGCCAGGAGATAATAAATAATCTACAAAAGGGCACGGAGCCAGCATTCAAACCCTGTTCACCTAACTGGAAAACACTTTTTTTTCACTATCCCAGAGGTGAGTTATGTAAGATTTATTTTCAAGGCCGTAGGTCCTAAATACTTCCCTTTAGCGTATGTGAACAAAACCTTGCAGAGAATTTTTTTTTTTTTTCCTAATTTAAAATGTACAGACTGTCCTTGGGATTCCAAACACATTCCAAAAGTCAGGAGCTGCTCCAATGCGGGCCGAGTTGGAAGGCACATTAGGCGTGAGCCCGGCTGAGGCTGGTGACTTGGAATTACGGTGCTCACTGCCTTGCTCTGTTCAGTCTTTCAGCGGTAAACATGTTTTCTTCCCCACACTTTGGCATTCATCACGAGTTAAATTCCAGCTTGTCAACTCTTGTAAAAAAAGGGTTCAGATCTTGGCGTTAAATCCTCCTCGTCGTGTGTGCAGGGCTGTACTGTTGTGGAGTGCTCAGCCGACCCTCGTGGCTACCTGGAGAGGTCACCCACTTTACAGATGAGGAAAACAGAGGCTCATGTGCTAGAGTCATCGGCCTAGCTTTAAGTCCAAACACTAGTCTCATCACAGCTACCGGGACTCCTTCTGTTTACTAGATCGTTAGGGGTGAGTTTGTGAAGTGTAATCGAGTCTGCATTCAAATTAGGGGGAAAGATCACTCCCTCCTTCATGAGCTGGGGTCCCCTCTGCAAATATCGTAGAACATCTGACCATTGACTGCACTGATGTGTTTATGTGACCAGCTTCCCCGTGAAACGGGAGCTCTCTCTGCTTCACCTCCTTCCATCCTCCAGCGCATAACCCAGGCTTGTGACGGCCTCTTCCTAAGATGCATCGGATAAATTAAATGAACAGTGGTTCTTACCAATCAAACCACTCTGGGAGAATTGAACTCTTCTCTGGGCACCAGTTTTCCTTCACTTCTTATTACAAAGCACAAGGTATCTCCTCCAGAAAAATCCACAAACCCAGACAAACAAAAGGAAGAAGCAAAAAACACTTGTTATCACTAAGAGGTGACTAATTAAATGAACTAAAGCATATGCATATATATATAATATGTATATAATATATATATACACACACACATATATATATACATATCTATATATATACACACACACACATATATATACACGTACATATCTATATATATACACACACACATATATATATACACATACATATCTATATATATACACACACACACACATATATATACACACATACATATCTATATATACACACACACATATATATATACACACACATACATATCTATATATATACATACACACACATATATATACTTGTAATAGTGTGGCTCTCTACACATACACATTAGTTTGTAAATAGCTCTTTCACTAAATATATGATAAATATCTTCCCACATCAACACATGCACTTCTGCTTCATCACTGTTTGAGTGTTGGGACACCCAGCTTCACTGTGTTTCAGCCATAAGTGGCAGAGACCCTCCAGTGTTTCTTAAGCATCTGGGACAGACGCTTGCTTATGAATTCAGCTTCTGCACTGCTATAAGTGATGCTCATCGTTAAATCTTTACAACTATATTTTCCTATTTTATTAGGATAGAGTCCCTTAAAATAGAATGGGTGAAACAAGGGCTCTTCAGGTTGTTTAGTTTGCCACATTCCACTTCAGGAAGTTTGGACAGTTTCTCTTTCTACCACCATGTGGGAGACCACCGTGTCCTGAGCCATCCACAGCAGGACCCTCTTCCCTCAGCACCTGGCAAAGCGCCAGACACATGGCTCAGCCCACGTGCCCCTTCTTCAGAGGCCCTCCCTCCCCGTGGACTGTGACCTGCCTCTGCTGTTCCTCCTTCAAGCCCTTGGTTTCTGGACACAAGTCTCAAGTCAATGAAATCATGATATGTGGTGTTTGGAGCTGAGTCTGAGTAGGCCTGGTTCCCTGTTGTGTCCTGGTGGCCAGCACAGTGTTTTATAATGGTCAGAAGCAAGGGTTTAAGTCAGGAACACCTGGATTTACTGTGACTCCACTGCTTCGCTTACCTAAATCTTCACTTTCTCAGTTGAGTTATCACGTGACCCACCTCGCACAAAGATGGTGAGGTTTAAATGAGATATGGCGCATAGCTTAACGTGTGGTCTTTGGTGACTGACTTCTTTCACTTGGCATTATGGTTTCAAGGTTCATTCACATTGTCTCATGTGTTTGTACTTCATTCCTCCTTACGCCCAGACAATGTCCCATTGTATGGGTAGACCACATTTTATTTGTTCATTCGTCAGCTGATGGACGTTGGGTTTTTCCATTTTTTGGTTATTATGAATAATGCTGCTCTGAAGGTGCACAGTTTTGTGTGGATGTATGTTTTCATCTTTCTTGAGTGTGTATACCTGGGAGGGGAACTGCTGGGTCATATGGTAACTGTCTGGGTAACGTTTTGAGTAACTGCCGGATTGTTTTCCGAAGCGCCTACAGCTGTTTTTCGTTTCCACCAGGACCTGCCTGTTCTTCCTCATCATTCATGCTCATCTTTAAACATAACATGATTCCATTTATATGAATTTTTGGAGCACGCAGAATTAATCAGCAGTGCTAGAAATCAGTCCAATGGTTGCCTCTGGGATGAGGGCAGAGGGTGCTTTCTGGGTGAGGGAAATGTTTTGTATCTTTAGTTGGTGCTTTAGTGTGTTTGGTATATGCATTTGTCAGAACTCATCAAACTGTTCCTTTAAGATCTGGACATTTCACTGAGTGTTAATTATGCCTAAATTAAAAAAAAACATACAAATGACAAAAACCTAGGTGCGGGGGGGGGGGGGGGGGGGGGGAGAAAAACCCCATAAATTATGTCCTGACATGACTTATCTTACCCACCTTCCGGTGGACAGAGAGCCTGCGCCTGGCAGGCAAGGCCAATTGTAAAAGGCTCTTAATTGATGAGATTAACTGCGTCTCAGTAGGGAGCCTCGTTAACATCAAGGAGGGGGGGAGAAAAGGAGGTTATTTTTCACTCTCGCAACTTGGGGATGGCTGGAAGGGGGGCCTGGGGTGCGTTTGGAGGGCTGTTCCCTGCAGTGGGGGAAGGCGGCAGTGGGAGATCCTGACTCAGACCCTTCTGCATACTAGAGCTGCATTTCCCTTTGGTATTAAGACAATTTTTTTTTTTGGATCATTTTCTCAGTTGGTGCAAAAACCTATGCTCCATTTTCATCTACGGGGAGGAAGAGACCAACCTGATTTTTCTTCCTTTTTTTTTTTTTGGTACGTTTTCTAAGGCTGCATCATCCAGCAGAACAAAGGATTTAGACAGAAGACTGTTTAATCCTTCTGAAATGCATTAGTGGCTGACGAACAGACAACAGGAAACAAACACCAAAGAAGTGAAAGGTTTTTGTCTCTCCCTCTTAGAATCTGCGGAGAAATGTGGATTGCATAGGCATCACTAATCACCCATGTTTAAAAAATCAGTATTATAAGCTTGTTGATAAAATTGCAAAACTTGTATCGTTTTATTTGTAGGATAGAAAAAGTATGTTATTTGGTGGGAAGAAGAAACTAATATAAACAATATAAACACCATTATTTTTGGGGAGGATGTGATTACTTGCGGTTTTTTTTCTTATTGCTTATCTGTGATTTATTTTTCCCAATGACCATTTATTGTTTGTGAATTAATTTTTTTTTTTTTTTTTTTTTTGCGGTACGCGGGCCTCTCACTGCTGTGGCCTCTCCCGTTGCGGAGCACAGGCTCTGGACGCGCAGGCTCAGCGGCCATGGCTCACGGGCGCAGCCGCTCCGCGGCATGTGGGATCTTCCCGGACCGGGGCACGAACCCGTGTCCCCTGCATCGGCAGGCAGACTCTCAACCACTGTGCCACCAAGGAAGCCCTGTTTGTGAATTAAATTTTTAAGGAATTATTTTGGTTTTCTCACTGATTGGAGAGATCAGTTTCCTTCACCTGCCCTCTCTCTAAAACAGACCCTCCTTTTCCCTCCCAACCATGCTTGCGGCTTATGAATTTTAAGGCAGCACTGCATAACGCATTGAACATGAACTTTGGGGTTAGCCAGATCAGAGTTCAATCTTACAGGATGGTGGGCAAGTCACAGATCATTTCTATGTCTTGGTTTCCTCATCAGAAGGATGGAACTGATAATCCTTTCCCCAATCAATTGATTTGAAACGTATATGGGAAAACCCCAGCACGGTACTTGGTCCTTCCTGTCAGTTCACTCCTTTGCCAACCCCTTTTCGCCTGGCATCTTCCCAATACCTTGGAAACTAGCATTCAGCATTACAGTCCAGATGACTTCTGCTGACTGGGCTACATCTCTAATCACTGCAGAAACTTAAAGACACCTGCAGATAATGTTTGGGGGGTGTGTGTGTTCACGCACACCCACAAGCACCTGTGTAGCACTTGTGCGTGTGGCTCGACATTAAACAAAACCTCCCTCCCCGTGAGTGAGTTAGGACTGCTGGAGCCAGAGTCTGTCACTAACCAAAGGTAGAACCAATAGCAGCAAACATCTGGGTGACAGCACTATTTATATATCCTTCTGCAGTACCAGTGCTTTGTAGCGGTGGTTTCGGTCTTCAAGCCTTGTAGTCAATATGCTGGAAACGTTCTCTTCGCGCAAATCATGAAAGCAGATGCAGACCCAGGCCGCCTGAGTGTGAGTATCCGTTTTTCCAGGACTAGGGGAGGGGCTCAGTAGAGGGTGAGTCAGGGTTTTGCAAAGTGTGTTTACACTGGTGGAACGCGCAGGGCGCACGTGGGCAGAAGCGATGTGCACACATGCAAAGCAGGAGCCGCTGCACTGTCGTCTCTGTTTCGCCTCCCCTGCTTCGGTCCCCTTCACAACCTTCCTTTGTCCTCCAGAATTACCTACCCTAGGTCCTTTTCTCAGCTTCTTTTTATGGCAGTGGTTTTCAAACTTTAGTTTGCAAATGATCACCTGGGAATCTTGCCAAAGTGCAGGTTCCTAGGTTCCTCCACCCGATTTTCTGATTCAGTGTCTTGGCAGGGGGCGTTGGGTGTCGGGGAGTGGTGATGCCTGGAAAAAGGCATTTTCACCAAACATCTCAGATAGGTCCGTTTGACTAGGAAAGCACTATAAGCAGAGTGCCTGGGACCTGTCAGTATTTCAGGCCCCTACAAACAAGGTAGAAAACTAACAGATACAATTATTAGTATCAAAATATAAAAAGGAAGCTGCAAAACTGAAACAGTGTTACCTGTTTGTATGTAGCTTCATAGCAGCTTATCAAGTTCTACTCAACTTTTGCAGTTACAGGGGAATTTTTTTTTTTAGTGGAATTTGGGTAGGTTTAATATATTTGATATGCTGTATGCTAGGCCTACAGAAGCCATGAAAAACTCCAATCCCATGGTCCCTGCTCTTAGAAGTATAGCCCTAGGTGATTTCTTGTTCCTAGCATTTTCAGTCTGGAGGCACCCTTAAAAAATGTTCTTCTGGGGCTTCCCTGGTGGCGCAGTGGTTGAGAGTCCGCCTGCCGATGCAGGGGACACGGGTTCGTGCCCCGATCTGGGAGGATCCCACATGCCGCGGAGCAGCTGGGCCCGTGAGCCATGGCCGCCGAGCCTGCGCGTCCGGAGCCTGTGCTCCGCAACGGGAGAGGCCACAGCAGGGAGAGGCCCGCGTACGGCAAAAAATAAAAAAAAAATGTTCTTCTTCAATGGTCAGGTTTTACCACCAGGGAGACTGAGGCCTGGAGGGAGATTGACTCACCCATGGTCACACGGCAAGTTCCTTGAAGCATCCAGACTAGAGCCAGCATTCACAACTCATGTGCGTGTGCACAAGTGTGCGTGTGTTTGTGATATCCCCCCAGCGGTCTCTTCCTCATCTCTCTCTTCCATTGGGGTTTGTCCTCAGGCCAGTCAGATATCCAGTCCCAAGCCCTGAGGGGAGGGAGGGAAGGGAGCGAGGGTCTCAGGGTCAAAACTGCTAACAATAAATAGACTTTGCACATGGCAAGGCCAGTCTTCAGCTTAATCCCCAGCAGGGGAAAAAGGGCCGCATCACTCCCTGGAGCTGAGGCAGGAAGAGCTGAAAGGCTTCTCTGTAGCTCCTTGTGCAGTACTACATGCTGGGTGTTGTAGGCACTGGCGGCACTGATGTAAAGCTGACACAGCCCCCGCCCTCAGGGAACTTACGTTTATTCATTGATCCATTCATTCCACAGATACCTGCCGAGCACCCTACTAGGTGCCCCGCACTCTAAACAAGGCAGATGCAGAGTTCAGCTCCTAGTTGGAGAGACAGGCAATTAGCAAGGTGACGGATCTCCACACACGGGAAGACACTTTCAGAGAGTGCCAAGTACTAGGAAAGAAATAAAAGAAGCTAATGAGAACGGGAGGGAGGGTGCAGGGCACACCCCGAGGCAGGGTGGCACTTACCCTCCCCCTGGGCATAGACCAGCAGCCCTGTCAGCAGTGCACCTCACCTCGGAGGCCAAGTGACATATTGGAAAGTAGATGGTCTCTGGGTTCCAAAGCCTGTGTCCTCTCTGAGCTGCGTTCCATGTCCTTGTAGGAAGATGAACATGTTAGTATCATAACTGGCCTTGGCTGGCTACTGTTTCTGTGCTAGAGACGCCTTCAGGGGCTTCACGTGCATTATCCCCCTTAGTGGCCCCAACACTGTCATGGCGGGCACTATGAGTACTGGGCCAGTTTGCAGAAAAGGAAACTGAGGCATGGGACGATAAGTAGCTTGTTCACGACCGTGTGCAGGCTGGGGAGTGGAGCCGGGATGTACCCCCAGATGACTTGCCTCTAGAACCCTTGTCTTACCCACTCTGCCTTACGGCTTCTGGAATCACTCCCTTCTTCCCCTGGGAGCTGTGCGAAATCACTGTGATGTTGGGAGGAGAGCCCGGACTATGGAGCCAGGTCCAGGCCGTACCATCTGAGCACCTCAACCTCTTTGAGCCCCAAATTTCTCTCATTTATAAACTGAGAATAAGGAGTTCTACCTCGTGGGGTTGTTAAAAGGACCCACGGAAATGGCAGTATTTGAGGGTGTTCGGCACTTCATAAATGCTTTTAAACGTGTTAAAGTAAATTCTTGCTGGTTGAATGAATGGACGGTAAATTCCACGTTCTCTGAAAGGTGACCTGCTTCAGGACATTCGTTTTTTTCTGACTCTCTGCCTTTTGGAGATTAGGATTCCACTGCCTGGCCTGCTGTGACCAGTTGTGGCCAACGAGTCGCAAGCAGACGGACTTGCCTTTTCTGGCCTTCGCGTGCAACGCTAGTGAGAGACTTTCCAGGTACCTCTCTCTCTCCCTCTCCGTCTCCCTCTCCCTCTGTCTCTGTCTCTCTCTCCCGCCCCCCATCCAGCCCTGGCACCCAGCAGTGTAGGGGCTGCCCTGTCAGCCTGGTCTGGGCGGTGCTGGCGCTGACAGCCGTCTCTGACTCTGATGGGCATAGAGCCTGAAGGAGCCGTGAGCCCTCACCGTTTTAAGACGCTGGAATTTGAGGATGTGAGCTAGTGCACCAAAACGTCACCTGACTGATAGGACCTGCGAGGCAAAGACATTTGACCCGTCTCCCTGGGTGGATCGGTAGGGGCTGCCAGGATCCCCAAGTGGCAAAAAATTCTGAGGTCCTACCTGGGGTCACGGGGAAGTGTGCTCTGATGGGTGGGTGACGGCAGCCGTGGTGGCAGATGGGATGTGAAGGGCCGGTACCCTGCGCCTCCCTCCCTGCTGTGCCTTCAGAGGGGTTTACTAACTGGGTTCTTTCTCTAGTCCGCCCTGAGGGCTGCCCCCAGATGGGCAGACCCATCTCCCCATAAACTTCTCTCGTCGGCCACAGGACTGTCTGCAGTCCCCACTCTGTCTTTCCCGGCACTGATTCCTCTGCCTTGCTTTCAAGGTCCTCAAAATTCTGGCCCTAACACACCCTCCCAGGACCCCCAGATGTTTTCTTTCTGTTCTAGACTTCAGGGGCTCCTCACCTGACGTTAGCATGCAACACCCCTCTCCGCATCCAGCCCGTCACCTCCTAAGTGCTGCCGCCCGTCACCCACTCCCCTACCCTATGGCCATCCTTCACATCTGGGTTCTCAGAGGACTTCCCTTTGCAGCCCGCAGGGACCTGCCCTCCTGCCCCCAGACCATACGGTGCCCACACGCCATCCGTCTTCCACTGTCTTGTCTTGTTATCTTTCACTCCATTCCTCCACGGTTATCTGACATTCCTCATGTCAAAGCTTTGACTCCCTACCTAAGTTTGACACTCAAAGAATGGCCTTGGTGTTGCAATTCCGCATCACAGTGTCTTGGCGATAACAGGCACTTGAGGAACAAGTTTTTAAAGAATTGGTTGGATCGGTGGTGCAGGGGTAGGGAGTAGAAGGGGAGAAACCAGAGCCAGATCATCTAAGGATCTCTCCCTCTCTTCATTTTCCAGTCCGCCCTGGCTCTCCCCTCTCCCAGGCCAGACTGTCCTGCCATGGCTGGTACCGTCCAGGTGTTTCTGTCCACTCCCTGAAATGAAATGCTAAGCTCCTAATCAAAAGGTCAGCGTTGAAGCAGCCCAGCTCAAGCCATCGCTGTTCCAGACCCTGGGACCAGAGAAGCACAGGATGTCTGGGTAGGGTGAGAGCAGGCAGCGAATCAGCTCTCGGAGGCAGGGGGATGCTTCCCAGGGAAACTAATGTTGAAGTTGAGCCGGGAGGGAGGTGTAGGAATTAGCCTGACTGAGGGCAGAGGAGTGCTCGGTGAACACCCCGGTCTGCAGAGAAGCCTGAGGGCTGGGGAGATGGAGTCAGGGGCGCAGGAGCCACCAGGGAAGTTAAAGAAAAATTCTAAAGAATGCCCGGAACCCCAGAGCCGTAATCCACCGCATTCCAGCTCTGATTTTCACTCCTGCACCTTCCCTTCCATCCCTCAGGTATGTGCAGAGATTTTATAGAGTTACTTTCTCAATGAATGTAGGACTTCTAAATTGCAGTTTTTCGTGCAAACATTTCCGTTGTTATTCCTCTGACTTTCCCAAGTGGGCTTAGGCTGCTGCCCCTCCCGCCCCAACTTTCCCGTTAGCCCACTGCGCTCTTCAGAACTGCCTGTGTGAGAGCGGTCACTCTACGTGCAGACAGATCTCATAAGAGGAAAACAGAGCATCAGGGAAGTCGTGGGGAAAAGTGGCGCTCACCAGAACAGTGTGACTGTGGCGACCCGTTCGCCGCAAGTCACCAAGAGCTAGAATGATAGGATTTGGAATTCATTCTAAGAATTGGTAAGGAGCCTGGCACGGCGCCTCCATGGCTAGTGGCGGCATATATCGTTCTTTGGGCAAAACTATTTGCCAGGAGTTGTCAAAGCATCACTTTGACCTTGTGTCCGTATTTGGGGAATGTATTTCAAAGACATGTTCCAGGAGGAGAGAAGGGGGTGGTGTGCGGGGAAGGGGTTTTTTTGGAACCTGATGCATTTAGGGGCAAAACTGGAAACAAAATGGCGCTCAGGGACACATGGTATTTCTGTGCCACCAAATCTTGCCCAGACTTCTGGAGGATCATGGTGCAGGAGAGGAGGCCACCTTAAGGACAGCAGTGACAATCTGCGATGTGACAGTCACATACGGCATTGTATCCTTCCCGGGCTTATGGGAAGTTAGAGAGAGAGATCAGCTCTCCATTGGGAAGAAACTGTCAGACTCCTTTCTACTACTGCCAGCGTGTTTGCTCCGTGCCCCAGATGGTACCTACTGTTCTGTTCTGGTTAGGTATCTGTTTTTCATTTTGACAAACAGGATTCTGTTACAGATCTCCCTCTGTTTTTCTTTTTACTCAGTACTGTCTTTTTTTAGATCCACTCTTGTTGGTCTGTGTGCACCTAGCTCATGTGAGGGGCTGTGTCTGCCCTCCCCTTGCTGTAGGTCCTGCCTTGTTTATCTCCTCCGTCCCCTGCTGACAGACGTTAGGGAAGCCCAGCCAAGTTCGGTGATGAACACCTCACATCTGTCCCCGGGTGGCCTGTGGGAGAGTTTCTCTGGTACAGATCCAGGGCTGGGATGGGTGAGTCATTGTGCCACTCAGACTTCATTTCACAAATGCTGCCAGATTGTTTTCCAGAATGACTGTACCTGTTTGCCTTTCCACCAGTGGTGCTCAGGGGTTTCTGTTTCCCCATGTCCCTCCCAGCACCTGGTGTTGTCAGCTGTATCAGAAGGATGCCTTTGATGGCTCAGGCACATCTGGGCACGGGATTCGCTTCTCTGAGACGCCCTTTTCTGCTGCAGTCGTCACCTTATCAGGAAGAATGTCAGGCAGGAAAAGGGGGTCTTTCACTGCAACTCTCTATCTTCTATTAGGGAAGAAAATTTCCCCAGAAATCTCCAGTTGACTTCCCCTTATGTCTCATTGGCCAGATGGGGCCAGATGTCCTCCTAAGCCAGCCTCTGACAGAGGTAATAGGAATGCCTCTTCCGTGGGCATTGCTGCCTGCTCAGGACGCGAACAGGACAGGGACTGTCTGCGTGAGGATGAAGAGAGCGTCGGACGGTTACTCGTCACCCGTAGAGTCTTCCACGCCAGATCTCTAATTGTGCCAGTTTTTTGAGTGCACGCTGCCACGCTGCCAAATGGTGATGAACCATTTGAGGAGAATTTCAGAAGCACATGTCTACGGCCTTGGAGTTAGAACTGGGCACCTCGTTTCGGAATCTGTCATTCTTCTTGGCAAGTGGACATCAGACCTGGTCCCCCACAGCTGCCCCTACTTAGATTTCTGTACGAGCTCCCCACGGAAGAGGTCAGTATAGAGACTCAAGGGCAGAGCGCCACTGTTCCTGCCTGTGCCGTGATTCCAAGGCAGAATGCCAGCTGAGGACAGGTGGGGAAGGACACCAGTCCAGGAATAGTACCGTCGCAGGCAGCAGCGCCCTCATTGTCAGCCACGTGTGCTATAGTAACCCTTGTGTTTGTGCTTAACCAAAGAAATTAACTTGTAATGATTAACTTCTGTAATTTATTGAGCACTTACTCAGTGTCAGGTAGCCCAGGAAGCATTTTATTTTTATGATCTTGTAACACACACACACACACACACACACACACACACACACACACACACCCGACAGCCTCGTGAGAGCATTTTTTTGTGATGGTTAAAGCACGGGCTCCAGTCAAGCCACCTATGGAATCCCAGTGATGACATTTATTAGCTGTGTGACCTTGGGCAAGATACTTAACCTTTCTGTGCCTCAGCTTTCTCATTTGTACACCAAGAACAACAATGGTATGTTACAAGTACTCAATGAGTTGATAAAATGCTCAGAATAACACTGGCGTAGAGTACAACACAGCTCACACTTGATAAATATTAGTTGTTGTTGCCATTTTAAAAAACGAAGAAACCAGAGGCTCAGAGAGATCCACTTACCAAATGTCAGACAGCCACGAGTGGCAGGGACACAACCCAAGAGTTTCTGATTCGAGAGCTGGCCCCTTATCCATCCAGCTAGACATCGTCAGTAGTCACGTGGCCCAAGGGAACACCGTCATTACTCCTCCTAATCACTAGAGCAAAGTTTCAGCTGAAGACCCAGTGATACTTTTGGTAAAGAAATAGCTTCCAGCCACCAACCATAAAAACATAGCAGGGCTTCCCTGGTGGCGCAGTGGTTGAGAGTCCGCCTGCCGATGCAGGGGACGCGGGTTCGTGCCCCGGTCCGGGAAGATCCCACGTGCCGCGGAGCGGCTGGGCCCGTGAGCCATGGCCGCTGAGCCTGCGCGTCCGGAGCCTGTGCTCCGCAACGGGAGAGGCCACAACAGTGAGAGGCCCATGTACCGCAAAAAAAAAAAAAAAAAATTGGTGTCAGTTATTACTTGAGACCTTGGCCAAGTTATTTAACATCTTTATTTTGTTGTTTTTTTTTTTCTCACAACAGTGAGAGGCCCGCGTACCGCAAAAAACAAAACAAAACAAAACTGAGCACAGCCAGTGCTGCTTGTTCCATAATTAGGGTTTTCCACATTACCTGACATTGTGTTTCTTATCTCAATTTGCACGTACACATTCACACGAAGTAGAAGCGTTATGTCCCCCGACTCCATTTTAGCCACTGGAAATCTCTGGAAACCAGGGCTTAAGAATCTTCTGGAAGATATTTTTCCTTGCCTAACTAAGTGAGCTAGAACCAGGAGCCGCTGGGATTTTTAGAGAGTGGGGTATCTCTAGTGTCTGTTGGTGTGAGGCAAATAGGCAGGGTGAACACCCCGCTCTGCAGAGAAGCCCGAGGGCTGGGGAGATGGAGTCAGGGC